CTATGATATTTCATCACCAAAGATTACAACCATCATTTATGTGAGATTCATTGTTGTTCATTAGTTGCATTTAGTTTTTTCACTATGATATTTCAGCACCAAAGATTACAACCATCGTTTATGTGAGATTCATTGTTGTTCATTAGTTGCATTGTTTTACAATGATATTTCAGCACCAAAGATTACAACCATCGTTTATGTGAGATTCAAGCTTCTCTTGCACATCTCACTAAGGGAACGAACCCTACTCCACAAGAGATTCCCACTGAAAACAAAGACAGGAATTCCCAACTACAAATGACCGAGTCGTATGAAGATAAAAAAAGGTAAAAGATTTTCAAGTCGGATTATTTTTCGTAGGCAAAAGTTGACAATTTTTCGAACCTCCTTAATTAAACAGAGATCAAAGCACAKTTTCGTCATTGCTATCGGTGGACGAGACCAATGAAGGTAAGTTTTCTTTTCGATATGTATCTATTTGCCATTCCGAGCTAGGTTGACTTAAAGACTAGGTCGGGTTGGTATTGCAGTGCATTGTGGGACTGTTTTAGGGAACGAAATAGACGCCATTTTGAAAATAAACCAAAATGCCAAAACGCCAAACCAGAATGCAACGTGCAACAAAACCTTCAGAAACCTTTTTTGAAATAGCTGTATATATAACATTTTATTTGTGTGACGAATGCTTTTCGTTCTAACTTTTCTCAAGACTTTTCACTGACAGTGCATTCCTGGCGCCTTGGTATGCAATATGCAACTAAACCTTCATCAACCTTTATTGAAATAGCTGAATATAACATGTTTTTGGTGACCCTTTTTTCATGACTTTTCTCAAGATTTTGTTAACGTCGAGATAAAGGACAAAAAAAACATCGAAAGCAACTCGAGCACGGAGTATGTAGAGATAATTGAGGACATCCAAGACCCAATACCCGTGCGCATCAAGAGAAGTAGCAGCACGCGCGAGAGACAGGATAAAGTGAAGTTCTCGAAATCAAGCCATGAAAATGAATATCATGAGGTCAAAGAACAAACCAAAACAAGTGGTTCTGACGGACTAAACCAGAATTGTAGTGAAAAAGAAGCGAACACAGATCTCGGTAAGTCGTGGAAATTTCAAGATTTTTTAATTTGGGAAACGTTGGTGAGTCAGAATAAGGTCAAAGATCGAAATTCACATGACCCGAACCTAAAGACATTAAAGAATCTAGAAGACCGCCTTGTTATACATTGTTTCAATTAGGTTTGGCTCGTGTAGCTTTAACGTTAGTATTAGTGATACTTGAGTGGCTATAATCCTCGCATGGTTAAGTCGGAAGTGAAGAGTAATTATTAATAATTCGATAATAAACTCTGATATTTATTTGAGAAGTTGGGCAGCAACAATCTCATCTTGCACAAAATTGTGGGACCTGGTATTCAGAGAAGGGGCCAAGAAAATTCACATCGAAAAAATAACACACTGCCGCTTAATCCCATGCTTCGCAAGGTTACAAGCCTTCTATTGAACTTCGGAGAAAGATAGGTGTGTGGATGAAGTCTGCCTACGGATTCCATTTAACAGTTATTTGACAAAGGCGAAGTGAATATCGGGAAATATTTACCGAGCGGCGAGGTAGATATTCACCATAATCACTGAGCCTGAGGGGAATAATTGTTTTAGTATATTTTAAGACTTGAATATCAGAGAAAAGAAGAAGTTCAGGATAAAAAACCATTTAGTATTTCTTCCAAATTTGACAAAACTTTGGGAAACTTCATAATGACTGCTCGAGCAGTGAATATGGTCTCATAATCACTGGTCGCTCGACCAATCACAGCACGCGAAACTCTATATTCAATTCTGAAATCTTACTAAGAATCTTTCATTCTTTATCAATCAATCTCAATCTTTTATCATTTTTACAGGTTCTTTATCAGAGTTTGGTTTTCAACCGAGTGTCGCTGGCAAGGATCAAGTACTAGACTTCCATATCCAAATGCGTAAGTTTTTTTATTGTAATCTGATGCAATATTTGATTGTATGCTAAAGTTCAATTTTGTGACTTGTTCTTTATGCTTCCTTGGTAGAATTTTCGTACAATGTTTGTCGATTCTACTGCAATGCATATTATGCTGAACAGTTTAGGAAACTACGCAAGCACACGTTTAAAGATGGTGAAGAAAGGTTAGCTGACCTTAATTTTATTATCATCAATTCTTCCTCTGCTCCTCTTCCATTTCTCCCGTAAAGCGCGTAGATTATTTAATATAATAATAATAATATACATTTGTAATGTACTGTTTAATAAACGAGCGGGAGTGTTTTATCGGGCATAAAACACAACCGAGTGGTTTTAGACCCGATAAAACACGATCTGCGAGTTTATTAAACGGCTTTAAAAACTCATGATGTAGGTTCTCGTATTGTACCGAATTCTTTACGAAATGAACCAAGTTTGATAGAGAAAATCTAAGCTAAAGTTTATGGAAATGAAGACGAATCTTTATCAGATATAGAATCACCTTCATGGTCATGATTTCTATTGTGTTTCTTTCATGAATTGTTGAATTGTTGAATAGCGCTTGAATGCGAGGCAACGCGGGAAAATCTATTTTTCCACTTAATATGGCAGCCGCGTGAGAAAGGTTCATAATGGAATTCCCTTTAACACTGAAAAATTTCCCACTTGCCATATATTGATTCATACACAAAGTATTACATGGAGAATGCAAGGTTGTTTCAAAAAATTCACAAATCACAACCTTGTAGCTTCGGTTAGATGCTTTGTGTGTGAACATTGATCACTGATTTCTTTCTGATTTATAGAAAGRGGTAAATGGACGTAGCAGTGTGCGTATGTCATATTCACGGGATGTTTTGTGTTTCAGGTACATTCGCTCTCTTGCTCACTGTGTGGTTTGGCGTGCACGTGGCGGCAAGTCAGGCTCGTCCTTCTCTAAGTCTCTAGGTACAACACAACAGTATTATACCCAGTACTTAAATTGATATAAACCCATGTAGCTTGAACTCATTTCAGACCACGTGTCATTCCTTGAATATTTTCCCTTTGGTTTTCGACATAATGTTGTATTTCAGACCACGTGCCATTCCCTTGAATAGTGTCAGACCACGTGTTTTTCCCTTGAATATTGTCAGACCACGTGTCATTCCCTTGAATATTGTTCCTTTTGCTTTGAGCGTAATGTTTACCCGTTTTAGACCTCGTGTCATTCCCTTGAATGTTATCAGACCACGTGTCATTTCCTTGAATATCGTTCCTTTTGGTTTGGGCGTAATGTATAGCCATTTTAGACCTCGTCTGTAGCTGAGAAAAATATTATTTGTTTGCTTTTCATCCATAATCTTACCTGTGGCTGCCAAAGCTCGTGAAAACGCTCTATAAGGCTGCGTTCATAATGTATGGCACAGAGGGGGGCAGGTGAAAATTTGACATGTCCAGATTATTACTTAACAACCCCCTTAAAGTCATGCAAAAAAATACGATCCCCCTAAGCAAGGCATGTAGCTTCTTCCAAAGCTGGTGCATCCCCCCATTATTCTGATAAGAATTTGCCCATCCCCCCTTTTTTCTACCAAAATTTTGCCGATCCCGCCTCAATTTCACCTGCCCCCCCCCCCCCCCCCCCCCCCCCCCCTGCCATACATCATGAACGCAGCCTAAAAAGCTACTAATTCTTAATTCTTGAGAGAGGCATGAATATCCATGAAATTCAAACAAGGAAACTTATTCTCAAGAGAATTGAAATGGAAATCCCAATTCCCAAATTGAAATCCCAAGTTAGAGTGTACATTAAAATGTTCTTAAATATTTAGTTCGTACATTGCCTCACTTTTTTCCCCTGTCTTTCAGATGATCGTTTTGTATTAAAGCAGATGTCTCGTCTGGAGCTGCAGTCCTTTGTAGAATTTGCTCCTCATTACTTCCAGTACATGAATAAGGCGATCAAAGAAAAGGTGCAGTAATAAGATAGACCGGACAGGGCAGAAAAACGGGTTTTACTTTCGACTTTTATGCGTTAATAAGCTTTATGTTTCATAAACAGGCTCTTTTTGGGCTGATTAGCAAAATACCAAAATTTGGGGAAATTTAAGGAATGCGTATTTGATCAGCACAAAAACTAACATTTTCGCTAATGCCTCGAAGTAGAATTGCTCGAGGTTAGCAGAATTTTGTGAAAAGTTTAAAGCACAAGAGACACGAATGAAACACTAAACGTTTTTTAACATGAATAAGAGATAAAGAAAAAAAATTGCGAAAGTAGCAGCCTTGTCGTTTTTCTGCTCTGTCGATAGACCGTGCAGTTTGGTCGTAATTGATATTTTTCCATTTCAGGCCACAACTCATTCCCTTGAGAATGATTTTCTTTGTTTCAGTTTGCAAATTTTGCGCTTTCGTTCAAAAAAATTTGAAGATCCAGAAATCAATTTCCTAGGTATAGATTATCTAAGAACATACCATGGATACTAATGGTGATATTGCCTATTGTTTTCAGAGATCAACGTTACTGGCCAAGATTTTTGGTGTGTATCGCATTGGGTTCAAGAATACGCAGACTAACACGACCATGCGACAAGATGTGCTGGTGATGGAGAATCTATTCTATGATCGCAAGATAGACAAGGTATTAATCATTCTCGTTTACAGAGGCTGCTATTCCTTTGGTCTCCGTCAATAAAGGAAGTGATTGGTTTCAAGCAGTTTGATTTGCTTTCAAAACTTAAAAATTTCTACTTTGAGCATGGGCACTTTTATTCTACGACCTTTCTTCACTTTCACCTATCCAAGATATTAAGGGCTTTGAGCGAATCCTAGAACCAATTTTTAATTTTAAAATATATATTTAAAAAAATAAAAAAATWAAAAATTATTGTAATTTATCTTGCGTCAAGCATGCAGGGAGTGATTGGTCTGCCTCCTTAGCCACAGTCGCATGACTAAAGCACTCGACGCCAGGTCGAATTGAAATGTAGCACTATTTTCGAGGAGAAAAGATATAACCGATTCTTTGTTCAAGTGGTAATGCAAGGCACTTGATGAAGATAATAAAACAATAATCAAGGATAATGAGTTTGGAGCTAATAAGCAATACCATGCAAAACTAAAACTCTAACCCAAAATACAATAAAGCTTGCTACGCCAAGAAAGACACGGATAATCGGAGAACCCGGAGAAAAATCCCTCAGTCGCCAATGTTCTCGTCGTGCAGGCTTCCAATTGTTTTATAGGCCAAGTGACAGTTCACATTGAGCTCTTCATTCTTGTTACGGAGGCCAAAGGGAATGCGGGCACTGCTTCAGAGAATGTGTGATTGTTTTCATATTCCCTTTTCACGCCAGTTGGTCATTCCTGATTAGTGCTAACCCTTGTTGATTGTGACCTGACTTGTAATATTACATTTCAGATATTTGACTTGAAAGGTTCCATGAGAAGCAGATACGTGCAAGTGTCAGGTCGAGAGAATGACGTTTTGATGGACGAAAACCTCTTAGAAAGTAAGACCACTGCTATTACTATACCCACGTTTAACTCATGAACCAGCCCTCCTGCTTTTGCATTCAGTTCCGCAATAGCCCCCTTCACAATTCCCTGCGCCATCTTGAAAGTTAGCCGTGCCTTTGCATTGAAATGAGACGAAAAGTGAGCTTGCAAAGATAGAGGTATTTTTAAAAATCTTGGACAAGTAATCACGTCTCTATCATTGCAAGCCCACCGTTTGTCGCGCTTCGATGCAAAGGCACGGCTACTGTGAAGGGGACTTATTCAAAACCCACAAGTTCTCCGACCTTGTTCCCCTTTCATGAAAAGTCCAGTTCACTTGCTTCAATACTTTGGGATTCCTAGATATAAACGATCATCTTCTTTTCTACTTTATTGCAGTGATTCGTGAGTACCCAATCTTCATCCGTCCTCATTCTAAAGCTGTCCTGTCCAAAGCTATTCACAATGATACAGAATTCTTAGCGCATCACATGGTTATGGACTACTCGCTGCTTGTTGGTATTGATGAGCTGCGCTCCGAGATCGTCATTGGAATAATAGGTAACTATCTTCTTAATCTTCTTACTTTGTCTTTTTGCTTTGATGTTTTCTTTGATAAAAAAGGTCGATCGATTGTTTGATCGGTCGGTCGGTACTTCTCACTGTCTGACTGATTCACTAAGTAAATGATAAACTAAACTACTGTCTGACCCGACCAACTTACCGATCGAATGACGGAAGTGTCTTACCGACAGATTGACTGACCGACCGACCGACCGACCGACCGACCGACCGACCGACCGACCGACTGTCTTATCGACTGATTGACTGACCGACCAACCGACCGACCAACTGATTGTCTTATTGACTGATTGACTGATTGACTCACCGACTGACTAGTTTAATATTTTTAATGAACAATGTACTTTTTAGATTTTATTCGTACTTTCACATGGGATAAAAAGCTAGAAATGTACGTCAAGTCCAGTGGGATCCTCGGAGGACAGGGCAAGATGCCAACCGTCGTCTCCCCTGAACTGTATAGAACTCGCTTTAGCGAAGCTATGAAACGGTATTTCTTAATGGTACCTGATAAATGGACCGGATTAGGCAATGATCTTGATTGAATACTCATTCACTGGTCTTCAGCACACGCGCAATCGTACAATTTCACGTTGCGACAAAATAGAGATTTCAAATTGTTTTCATGACGTTGTCCAAAAAAGAGGTTTCAAGAGCATATACCTATGGAATATCATGGAAACGTCGACTAACGTCCATAAAAACCTACTTCGTCGCGATGACGATTAACTGCATGCTTGAGAACGACTGTAAACCGTTAAAATTGCCTCAAATAGGTCTTTTCTTGGTTGACAAAAAAGTGCATTATAGTCTACCTTGAGTATATAAGTAATACAATTTAATGCATGATAAACAGAAATATTTGTACACAAGATAGACCACAATGCACCATGTTCGCCATCTCAGAAAAGGTCTATCGAACGAATTACCGTTGATTTGACCCGTTCCSACGACCATGATCCTTTGCGTTTAAACAATAGATTGTTTTGATGTGACGTCATAGTGAAATAGGGCAATTGGCCTGGAAATACTACAATGAAAATTGATCTCAAATCACACACACCGCTATCTTTAGCTTTGGGAATCCTTTTTCTTTACAAATTTTATTGCTTGAAAAAGAATGCATCGAAAAATAAAGTGGCCAAAATCAATGATCCAATTTCAAAAACTTAAAAAACTTCTCTAAATTCAAATGAACTAAATTTAGTGTGAAACAAATTGATGAAAAAAATAAAAAAATAATATTTAAGATAAATACAGAATATAAATGGGATTCAAGATTATTTCTACGTTAAGCGGAGTTATAGTGTATCAAGAAATATCGAAAAACTTTGCCGAATTGTCCACTAAATTTTATAATTATTATTTTATATTTAAACAAAAGAATGATCTTTATTTTTTATCAAGAATGATGAAGCATTTTATTTTTTTYCCCCTCGATCAAAGGATAGTTGGCGATTGAAATAAAGTAGGGAAATATGAGATACACATTAATATCCATACTAATCACAAGTGCATTCGTAGTTTTTACTAAAATATTTGAAAATAAAATGAAGAAAAATTTTATTGAGATATGCATTTAACAACAGAATGATTTCTTTAAATTTTTGTCACCTAAACACGCCATTTTGTAATTACGCATTGAATTTTAAATTATTGAAATAATGGAAAAGACGCTCCATCCAGGACTACTCTACAGGACTACAGGATTTTCCAGTTAAAGCTGGAGCCAATCAGGAGAGAGCATCATCATTAGCATGTTGAGCTCAGGCAATCACATTATTTCATTCTCACAAGATTTCAAGTCAAGTTCTGTCAGATCTTGGCTTCTTTGCTTACTCCTGATTGGCTCATGTTGGAATGATTTCTTCCTAATAGTGGCCCTGATTCGAGTGTCTGATAAAACTATTGATATTGATAAAATTACTGAAAATCAGTTTTGAAAAACAGGTGCGCTTTCCATTTACAAGGAAAAAACGAAAAATTCCGGTTGAGGTAATCCACTTTTCCCGCTCTTTTTGTTTCTTTTCGGTAAACGCGTGTACCTTATGTCGGAAGTCAAAGTTTCCCGCTTTTTTCTTGGCATATAAATTTTCAACCGGATGGATTGGTTTAAATGGTAAGCACCCCAGGTTGTACAACCATTTATACAACCACTCTCGTAATGGTCGACAAGTGCACGTGAAAAAGTCATTAGGGCGTTAGTTCACAATAAAAGATATCAAAACACATGTAATGCGTTTATAGAAGAAAAGCGTAGAAATTGACTTTTAGTTTTGACCTGAATTCACGCCATCCACCTTTACTTTGAATGAGCAGCCTTGCTCAACTTTGCAAGATGACTGGGTGACTTCGTTTTCGTACGATTGTCAGCCATTATGAGAACGGTTAAAAATCTATTAACTAGCGTAATACACGTCCAGGGTCTCGAATACAGGCTCATTGATATCCGGTGCTGGGTCAGGTAGAGGTTTGTTGAAGCCCTCCTTAGTAACCAACCAGTAGGTAGTAACCATACCACGACGCTGGGAACAAAAGATGAATAAAACAACGATAAGAAACTACAAAAACCTTTACGACTTTGATAAGAAACTACTTTTAAACAGTCTGTTCTGCTGAATCACTCCCCAAAAATTGTCCTGTGAGTAATTTGAAAAGTTTTCGATGCTTGCGCTCATGGTCTTCCGAACAGTTTTTATTTTCGTTATTGGCTTTTGGGCTAGCTGTGGTGATCTTGATTCTAGATAACGACAGAGCATTTTGGGTCAAGTTTGCGTATAGTTTTGGTCTAATACCTTAATTTTGACTTGTCCTCGCTCTTCCAAGTAAAATCCACCGAGCTCAACGAGACGAAGGTATGCTTCTCGGCTGACATGAATACGGAGACCTTTCAAGAACCCAGATTAAAAAATGAATCAATAGACCTAATCGGCTAACGTGTTGCTATGTACGTTACCACCCAATTCAAACCTTCTGGGAATAGAAGCGTTTGTCTCTACGAATTCAACTGTGAAACCAAAATAAAACGAACAATGAAACTTATTCCCAGAAGGTTTGAATTGGGTGGTAACGTACATAGCAACGCTTTAGCCGATTAGGTGTATTCTTCAAAATTCTTTTTTTTTTTTTTTAAAATATTCAATGCATATTAATTTATGGGCAAAACTTCACTATTGATTCTTACCAACTCCAGTGCTTTCCATCTTCATAGCAATGTTAACTGTGTGACCAAACAGACAGTATCTTGGCATGGTGACTCCCACCACGCCAGCGACAACTGGGCCTGGAAAAAAAGTAACGAAAAAAATCGTTTTTGTTTTTGTTTTTGTTCTTCACAATGCAGCTATTATACAACTATTTATTTAGTGGGTTTGAGGCTTTCTCGTGCGATAGACATGGCATTGCACAAATAAGTCTAAAGATGTAGGCTTTCATTTAGTTATTCGTTCATTCCTTCAACATTTTTTTCAATCATTTGTCCGTTAATCCATCCATCCGTCAATTTTGTTCATCCATCCACTATTTCACGAATCCATTCATCCAACATTTTACGCATCCCTCCTTTCCTATCTCCCTGCCTGCCTCCCTCCCATCCTCCCTTTTTCCCTTCCTTCCTCCCATCCTCCCTTCTTCCATCCATCCATGGCTCCCATCCCTCCATCCATCCCTCTATCCATCCCTCCATCAATCTTTCCATCCATCAATCCCCTCCCTCACTTCCTCCATCCATCCACCCATCCATYCATCCATTTATTTCACTCTTACCTGTATGTATCCCAATTCTTAACTGAAGCTGTTCCTCTGGACGGTGACGTATGCGGAAGACGGTCATGTGACTCAGTAGATCTAAAGCCATGCTGCCAATCTCCCCGGCGTGTTTCTTGTCATTTAACACGGGGCAGCCACTGACCACCATGTACGCGTCACCAATAGTCTCCACCTAACGCGGATTGGACAGAAACATTTTAAGTTTTTGATTCCTTGGCGTTAACAATAGTGAAACGAGGGTTAAAAACTAGCTATCGTGTGCTACCCTCGAAAAACAAGGATATTTTATTTACGTTGACGAAGTCTTTTAAACACGTGCCCGCGAGATCAGTCTCTACTCATCCTGCCAATGAAAATACTATTAAAGACAAAACCTGGCATTCTGTACTGTAAGTTTTCCAAATTAAATCATATCATCTCATGCGATATTTTCTCTGTCTCTTACTCACTTTGTAAACATCAAAATGGGAAATAATTTCATCGAATGCCACGTAAAGATCGTTGAGAAAGTYTACGACCTAAAAACAAGAGCGAAAATGCTAATTGTTAAAACTTCATGGAATGCAGTTTCCAGTTTTTTGTGTGAAAATAATACATCATTAATCGACTAGTAACGGACGAGTAGCCATTACGTACATATTTTTGAGTTTTCAGAACATTTATCAAAGTAACAAGTGGTATAATAATGTGTTGACGAGGAATGGACGTACCTCAAGAGGCTGGCTGTTGGAGCACAGTTTGGTGAATCCCACGATATCACTGAAGAAGATGGTAACCTCTTCAAACTCTTCTGCTTGGACAGAGTTGTAAAGCTTGAACTGCTCAGCTACTGGCCTGGAATGATTGATACAAAAATTAGAAAAATTTATTGAACAAAAAGAAAAGAAACAAATTACATGGCTCATATCAAGTTTTGCTCCATACATTAGTGTCAAAGTTGGAGTTGAGAAAGGTCACTCCATATATGGAATCATATAATTCCATATTTGGATTGCGGGTCTTTACCCTGAGGTCAAAGATGGCGGACAAGCGTGATCGTCGGCTGGCGAAGCGGCTGAGAGACATATACGAGCTTGGCGAAGACGAAAAACAAGAAAAAAATACAAAAAGAAAAAAAAAAAAGCTCCCCAGTCCCTTTTTTTAAGACCGGGAAAGAGAGCTTTGACACTCATTGTTTGATATGAAATTACATCAAAAACATAAATGAATATATACAGGATGTTTGAATGCATAGAAGGAAGGAAGAAACCATGGAAGGTCGACCGCATAAACGAAGGAATAAAAAGGCGCGCAAATGACGGAATGATACGATAATTGCATGATGGAATGAAAATGGATACAATGGAAAAGTAACGCCGAAAGAAAGAAAGAAAAATCTGGAAAGAAATAAGATAATTGTCAAGAAAACATACAATACACTGTGTTTCAAAACTCTTCAACTCCATTTTTTTATTACTAAGTCAACGTACTGGGGTAGTAATCTGAATAACAGGCGATCAGTTTTCTCTTTCTCTTCGTTCAGCTGACGAGTTCTTTCCTCCACAAGTTGTTCCAAATGATTAGAATGTTTCTCCATCATGGAAACCATGTTTTCGATGATATTGGTGTTTCTGCAAATCAACAAAGTTAAATCAATAGACTGAATTAACTATTCTGTGCGCGAAAGCTGGATGCACAAAAAAATAATTAAAAAAATTAAATTAAAAACAATATCTGTTACTGCAGTTAAGCCCGCAATGAGATATTCTTTTGTTTAAGAATCATACAAGTGAGGCTATCGGGTCGATACAATGCTTGTTGTCTCATTTGCGTGCATCCATAATATCTGCTATTAGAGTATGCCACCTACTGCATTTTTGTGTAAAGACCAAAGCAATGATGCTTCAGCCTTTAAGTTCAAGCTTGCATTACTCACAGCATGGCCTATCGGTTGTTTATGAGCTACAAAATGGAAAAGATAACGCATGATTTTGTGCTAGAAGTCAGTCTCCACTGGAGCTCCTTTACCGGCTTTCAAACATTTTCAAATATAGTCGCAACTGAAAAAAGATAACGCAATACGATCTTAYGCTTCCAAATAGTTTACCTATATCTGCCGCTGATCTTCTTAAGCCTTTCCACGATGCGTAGAAAATGAGGTCTCTCCTCAGGATCCTCATTCCAGCATTCTATCATCAACAGTACGAGCTCGGCCCGAACTTCGTCCGTAGATACCTCGGGGCGAAATGGTGGATCGTCACGTGCAATAACACGCTGAATGATCTCTGTTAAAAAAATATACTATTTTTTGAGTCCTGTCACATCTTATATAGATGAAACATCTTGGCTAGATCCAGATAATAGCGTTTCCTGCAGATGACGTTACAATTGTGCATCATGGGATTGAACTAAGGACAAGCCAAGCCAAGCGACCATGCTAATATGCTGCAACAATATTTCGTAGTCTTGTTGTTTCCAATTCATGGAAGAACTATGGTTTTTCGACTGATATTCTTCCTCWTTTCCATGTAATAGAAGCATTATTTGCAATAGTTGTCCCCATTTCGATCCCACAAGGCTTTGCGATATCTATTTGGTGGGGCCGCTAGTTCGGATTTGGCGAAGACTTTTGCGCGCCAAAACGTGTCCGAACGCCCTTACCTCGAGGTTCAAAACCACAGTCATTGAACGGTCCAGTCCTTGTGGAGATCTCTTGGATGATAATGGCAAAGCTATAAACATCGCCTTTCTGTGTCATGCCTTCTCGTTCCAATTTTGCTAGATTGATGTGTTCTGGTGCGGTCCATAACAGATCTAGACGATAAAATGGAATCAATTGAATAAGCCAGACTCCAGGACCTTGATAATCAACATATGAGTAGTCGGCGGAGGAGAGAGCAGTATGCCTAAATTGGAAATAAGTGTGGTGGTATTGGAGGACGTTCGGGGTCCATTCCCGAACTCAGTCAGCATGACCGGCGTGAGTAGGTTTTGTTTGTTCTCTGCCTCAATTCGAGGGTATTTCTCTCGGTTTTCTCCGCAAAATCCAACACTAAAATTCTAATTTAGTCTGGGAGTCGGCCGTCCCTTGACTTAGATTAGCCCAGAGGTTGCTTCAGGGTTCGATGTGTGGGTTAGCCGTGCCCTGACTTAGAACAGCCCAGAGGTTGCTTCAGGGTTCGATCTGTGGGTTAGCCGTGCCCTGACTTAGATCCGCCAAGAGGTTGTTTCAGGGTTGGATCTGTGAGTGAGCCGCATGCCCTGACTTAGATCAGCCCAGAGGTTGTTTCAGGGTTTGATCTGTGAGTAATTATCCATGCCCTGACTAGATCAGCTCAGTTCCTTTATTTAATTCAATATGGTGTTTTGGGGTATCATCTTCCACCCAGACCCAATAAAAAAAATGTGTGTGAAAATGTGATTACCTGTGTACATCTTTTGGGCGGGTAAATTGCCCTTCTCCTGGCCAGCTTTGAAGTAATGCAGTCCCCAGTCGGTGATCTTGACCACCCAGTGACTATCGATGACGCATTTAGACGAAGTCAGACAGCCGTGGAGTTTGATAGGACTACTGTGAAGGTATTTCATACCCTAGAGGGAAAAATAACAACAAAAACCGATAAATCTTGGATCGTTATCTCGCATTGATTTTTCCATATACTTTTAGGTAGGTTAATCTTTCCTGACTATTCAAACTTTCTTTCTTTCCCAGTGCAGAAAAATAGTTATTCAAGTTGGTCGCCATATTTTGATTCGGTGCATAAGTAATGATAATTATAGACCTACAGCTGCAATATCGACAGCCATGGACATCTTAAAGGCTTCATCAATTCTGTACTCTTCATTCTCTAACACATCCTAAATCAAACAAAGTAATATATTACCGTGAAAGCTAGCGCATTGAAAATAACCTTTCTCGTATGCAAAGTGTTAAAATAAAGGAGGCTTTTTGTAGTTTACCTGCAAACTTCCTTTTCTACAGTGTGACCAGACCACGAGGATGTTGGGCGACTCGATACAGGCTCCGATAAAGGCGTTCAGATTCTCATGACTCAAGTCTCTCACCTATGCAATGATGGAGATGGAGAAGGAAGGAAGGAAGAGAAAGAAAGTAGAATGGAACGAAGGGGAAAACATTAAGAAGCAACGAATATAAAGAAGGATGAAAGGATGGAAGCAAAGGAAAAGGAAGGAAAGGAAATGGATGGAAGAAAGAAACGAAAAGCAAAATCATTAACATCTATTAATGAAGCCAGACACGTCTGTCGACGATTACACGAATTTTTTTTTATCTTACCTGTTTGAGCTCAATGAGAACTGTACGAGAAAGATGGACGCTCTTCTTGTTCAATCTTTTGATTACGACAGTTCTTCCCTGATTGACAAGATTATTAGAAACATTAGTTATTTAAGGGATGGAAACAATTCGGAAAACATTTCACACTAAAGAAATAACACTCAAGGGAATGATCTGATCTGAAATAAAAAACATACGCCCAAAAAGGAATAGTAGGATCATTGGAATGGCACGTCTGAAATCAAGAGAATGACACGTGGCCGCTTGAAATGGCAAAACATTACTCGATAAGCAAAGAAATAACGGGGTTTGAAATGGTAATACATTACTCCCATAGTAAAAGGAATAATACTCAAGGGAATGACTTGTTTGAAATGGAAAAAAGGCTGAGGGAAGTAAAACGTTTTTGGTAGGTAAGAAATTTTCGGCTTTAGTGAGTAATTTATCGCCAAATTACTAGTTTAAAAAATATTAAAAATTCATGTAGTATCCTGGAATTACCTGGAATTCCCCAAGGGTGGTGACTCGTTCACCTTTACTGTGTTCCTGGTTGCGAGCACTGCGACTCAGTGGTGAAAATCCTTTAGTGGCGTTTGCTAATTGACCTCGCTTTGGTGGTTGATTTTCTTTCTCTGTGTCACTCGTCTGTGAAATAGATGATATATTTGAAACGAATAGGACTTTTATTTTGCAGCAAAGAAACATGAAACCAACGTACACAAGTATAAGTATAACGTTCATTTGAAAGTGAAGTGGCTAAAGTTCCCGATCCCCTCTCTGTCCGTGGTCCCTTATATTCTGATAATCCTCATTAAGGCCAGGATAACAAAAATCCAAGTTAACCAAGCCAAGCTGGTGCTACGACGTTTGTGCAGGACCTTTGCTAAACCTCCTCTGGCAGATGGAACTAAATATTCTGATAACTTTTACCTTTGTCGTTAAGAGAAAGTTCTGCTTTGGTTCCTCATGGTACTCGTGGTCAGGTCGTTCATTGTCGATATGGATTTGAACGTCTTCGTATTTGATTTTCCATGTCATGTTTTGAGCCAAGTCGGTCTCATAACGTAGTTTCCTAAAATATTTCATCTCTTTAGTATGCTTTAATTATTTATGTTACTTTCTGTCGCGTATTAGTTTACGGTTACACGGAGCAATAGTCTCTGCAACTTGTCTCACAATGACGTTGCGACACAAGTTGCATGGAGCGTTACAGCGTTTAACCTACAGTGCAATTTGAAAAAAAAATGTTGCGAGACTGATGTTGCAGCAATTGTGCAAAAATTAGAATTCGTTCCTACTTTTGGCGGTGATTGCGTCTCCGTTGCACCGTGTAAACACTCTTTGCAACCAGCCTGCGTCGAAACGTTGTTGCGAGACGAGTTGAAGAGAAAATTGCTCCATGGATGTCATCGCACCTTAAAGATTTTGGCGTTTTTGTACCGTGTCATGTGACACCTTTACGGAATCTATTCTGTTATTATCACGAATGGAATATGAATATAGAAATTACCTGATGATAAGAAAAAAGATCATTGCCAGAACGAAGACACCACCAGTAGATGCACCAATCACCACATTAACTACTCGAGCTGCTACAAGAAAAATATGCGGTCACGTAAGTTCGTTAAAATATAAATCCAGTTTTGAAAAGTACTCGTTGAATGCTCTTTCTACTTTTATATAGACCCCTTGCATGTGAAGTCAAAGCAGTGTCATTTGGAGGACAGAGGACAAAACAAAAAAATTCCAATCTGAGAATTGGAAACCTATTGTTATTTCCTCCAAAGTGAGATGCATCCCAGCGTACTGCAAGGAGCACCTACCAAAAAAATTCTGGTAATTAAAAAAAAGGAAAAATTGAACTTGTAAATTTCTCTCTCTCTTTCTCTCTTCTTTTTCTTTTTCCTTTGGTTTTTTCTTCTCGTTTCTTTGCAAAAAAATTCAAGTATATCACCATCACCTTCTTCCTGCTGCTCTAAGCATTTTTCGTTAACCCATCCACATGGAGGTTGATCAGCTGGTGGAGTTGTCCTTCCTCCTGCCCAAATGACCGTCACGTCTGCAAAAGGAAAATTTGGAGTTGACAATCATCGTTCTTTATGGAAGGATTTTTTAAAGGATATATTTAGACATAGTAATGTGATTTACCTCTCAAGTTGAAGCCTCCGGTTGAATGGTTATAATCAGCAATGTTTTGAAAGCTGCCGTTGACGTAATATTTCAATGAGTAATCGGGCTCTCTGTCACCAGACGAGTCGATTTTGACTTTGCCTGACGCTCCTAGATAAAACAAATGGAGTGATGAAAACATCAAGTAAAACTCGAAAAAGATGCAAGACCAGCTGGATGATCCCCATTCTGCGTTGCACCTAAAATTATAGCCGCCATGCTGGAAGAATTTATTTGACAAAAGAGTTTTCGATTATTTTTGTGTTATATCAACCAACATGGCGGTCACGTGTTTCGTTTTTATGCGGCGGAAGATTTGTTAAAAGCGGGAGGAACTTACCCTTGTGGAACAAATCATCATCATCATCAATATCACCATCATCATCATCATCATCAATATCATCATCACCATCACCACCATCATCATCATTCTCCTCATTATTATTATTATTGTTGTTGTTGTTGTTGTTGTTATTGTTATTATTATTATTACCTTCGAATTCCCTGTTCATCATTCTATTCACGATTGTTTTGCCGTCTTTCTTGTGTCCTCCTGCAGTTAGCGTCTCGTTCAGGGCAATAGCATACAGGAAGATAGCATCATAGATAGCACCAGCATACACTTCGACCTGAAAGGTTATTTTACTTCAGTCGTGCAAATATCGTATTAATGTGAAAACTCAAGGTATGAATGCATGAGACGTGCAGCTCTTTCCATCGCTTGTTACTTTGTTGTTTTGTTTCGTATATTACAAGTACTATTCCTACGTTCGTTAGTTCAATATTTTTTGGTTTGTTTGTGGCTTGTTTCGTATTTTACAAGAATTTATCATTGCGGTTTCCTTCGTTCGTTAATTCGTTCGATCGTTCTTTCTTGTTTTGTATTTTCCAAGTATTGTCGTTTCTTCGTTCGTTTTTTAGTTGGTTATATAGATATTTTTCGAATTCCTGAAATACCGCTGTGTTCCTTGATTACAGACTCTTTTACTCAGGGCTAGCCTCGTATCAGTGTCTAAATTAAATATCCACAAATACCAACGGTAAAGCAAAGAATGCACAACTTCAAGAAAACAAACACTTTGAAATTCCTCGGATCTTCACTACAAACATGAAACACAACATTAAGGCTAGCCCTGCGAAAATGAGTCTGCAGTCAAGGAACACAGCGGTATTTTACGAATAGACCAGTTTCGAATTCCAAATTACCGCTGTGTTCCTTGATTACAGACTCATTTGCACAGGGTTAGCCT